GTCTACAGCACTGGGTACCATTGCATTATACACCCCACTGGTGTAAACCAAAACCATTTGTGTGGATGACTAAGCTAACTATTAGTAACAGTAGGAAAAAATACAAATTAATAAAAGAACACTTCAGAAATGTGGATCCAACAATGTGTTAATAGCCAGCCAGAAAGTAGGTATTGCAGAATTGTTACAAGTCCCCCACATTACATAACCAGCTATTGAGAACCAGGAGAGAGCGGATGTAAAATTCTGAGAAGAATATTGGATAGAACCTCAGGGAAATTCTGTCATCCAAAGTCATCTTCTCCTGCCCATTTCCTTCCTGATTGTCTCCAAGGCTGGACCCAGCTTCCAAACTCCCTCTTTTTCAGTTCCCAGTCTTCGGGATATTATTATAACATCCAAAACTTTTTGAAGATGAGGATCCTACCTTATGCATTCAAGAATCTGCTGTGCCTGGGGCAGGGCCTGGTAGACCTAACAGGCACAGTAGATGTCTGTGAAATAACTGGCTGAATGTAATGCAAACACTACACCAGCAGGCATGGGGCTTGCACAGAGCATGGCGGTTTCATGGTGAGGTTGCTGCAGCTTGACTCCTCGTTCATTCAGGCCTCCTGATCTTATAAACCAGTACCCCCTGATCCCAGAACGGTGATTCCTTGACTGCAGGGCTGTGAGGTTTTACTCAATAGGCTATGGTCCCTAGCACAGTGCTCTGTAAAAGTGTATTGGGTAATTAGAATTAATACCATTTTTGTTGACATTGCCAACTATGAAATTGGGTTTTTTCTGCCTCAGTTGCCTGAGGACTAGGCTGGGACTGGGTGGAGTTGGTCATGGGTGGAGGCCTTTTGGGTGATTTAGGGCAAGTGAGTTAACAACTTGTTCCACACATGTGAGATGGAGAAGTGCGTGGGGATGTTAAAAATGATTAAACAGCACTTTGCAAACAATGACAACAACACTTTGTGGCTGACAAGTAGAATAGTGAAAACTGAGTGTCATATAGCCCAAAGAACTGTTAAGAAAAATATTTATGGAACTAGTCAGACCTGGTAGTTTCCCATAAGCAGGTGGGTGGGTTGTAGTGGGAAGTGTTCCAGATCAGACCGGGCGGGCCTTGCTGGGGTGGCGGGGTGGGGGTGAGCATGGTGGGTGGAGGAGTACTGAGGAGAAGGCACAGTTGAAACCCCATCATGACGGCCACCATTACAATGTCACCCCTTGAACCCTTAAGTTATATCAATATCTAAGCCTGCCTTGGCTTTATAGTTAACAACATTGAGTATGTCTGATTCCAAAAGAACAAACATTCTGGGGGCAGATGTTTTCTAACTGGTGTGAGCAGAAGGTTCACTTGTAGGGGTGGATGGGTTACATGTTCAAAATGCAGAACTCTAAGCCTTCATCCAGAATTTTCTGATTCAGAAGATCTAGGGTAGTGATGCTGAGCCAAGGGCGATTTTGACCCCCCCTCCCCAGGGGACATTGGGCAGTATCTGGAGACAGTTTGCATTGTCACAACTGAAACCTGGGATGTTCCTAAACATCCTACATTGAACAGAACAGCCCCTCCTAACAAAGAATTATCAGACCCTCAATGTCAATGGGGCCTGGGTTAGAAAATCTTGTTCTAGGGCAAGGACCAGGTAGGTGCATCTTCACAAGGGCCTCAGGAGATTTTAATGCAGAAGCAGAAGCTTTACACCGTGTCTTTTTGATACAAGGGCTTCAGTATCAGAGTTCCCTTTTTGCCTACCCCTTTGTTAGATTTAGGACTCAGCTTTGACTTACTTCTTCCCTTGAAGGCCCGCCTGGTAACCATCCTTCCTTTTGCCAAGTTCAGGGTAATTGCCCCTCCTAAGAACACCTTCACCACATACTTATAACCAACTGATCTTTGACAAAGCATACAAAAACATAAATTGGGGAAAGGTCTATTCCAGCGGTCTCCAGCCTTTCTGTAACCAGGGACTGGTTTCATGAAAGACAATTTTCCCACGGACCAGGGCAGGGTGGATGGTTTTGGAATAAAACTGTTTGACCTCAGATCATTAGGCATTAGCTTCTCATAAGGAGTGTGCAACCTAGATCCCTTGCATTCACAGTTTACAATAGAGTTCGAGTTCCCATGAGAGTCTGATGTCCCTGCTGAAGTGAAAAGAGGCAGAGCTCAAGCGGTAATGCTTGCTTCCCCCCTGCTTACCTCCTGCTGTGTCACCTGGTTCCTAACAGGCCATGGACAGGTACTAGTCCATGGTTCAGGGGTTCGGGACCCCTGCCCTATTCAATAAATGGTGCTGGGAAAATTGGATAGCCACATATAGAATGAAACTATCCCTGTCTCTGACCATACACAAAAATTAACCCAAGATGAATTAAAGACTTTAAACATAAGACCTGACACCATAACTATTCTAGAAGAAAACCTAGGAAAAACTCTTCTGGACATTGGCTTAGGCAAAGAATTTCTGACTAAGCCCTCAAAAGCAAATACAACAAAAATAAATAAATAAATAAATAAATGGAACCTAATTAAACTAAAATACTTCTACCCAGCAAAAGAAACAATCATCAGAGTAAACAGACAACCTACAGAATGGGTGAAAATATTTGCAAACTATGCATCTGACAAAGGACTAATATCCGGAATCTACAAGGAACTCAAACAAATCAGCAAGGAAAAACAACAACAACAACAACAACAGCAACAAATAATCTCATTAAAAAGTGGACAAATGGTGTGAATAGACATTTCTCAAAAGAAGACAGATAAATGGCCAACAAACATAATGAAAAAATGCTCACTATCAATAATTGTAGGGTAAACACAAATTAAAACTGCAGTGAGATACTGCCTTACCCTAGCCAGAATGGCCATTATCAAAAAGTCAAAAAACAACAGATACTGGTGTGGATGTAGGGAAAAGCGAACTCTTATACCCACTGCTGGTGTGAATGTAAATTAGTACAACCTCTATAGAAAACAGTACGGAGATTTCTTAAGGAACTAGAAGTAGATCTACCAATTGATCCAGCAATCCCACTGCTGGGTATCTACCCAAAGGAAGAGAAGTCATTATGTCAGAAAGACACCTGCACATGTATATTTATTGCAGCACAATTGCAAAGATACAAAATCAACATAAGTGCCCATCAACTGATGAGTGTATAAAGAAAATGTGGTATATATATGTATATATGTGTGTGTGTGTATACACACACATACAGTGTACACACACACACATACATGTATATATACACATACACACACACACAGCATGGAATACTACTCAGCCATATAAAAGAACAAAATAATGTCTATTGCCGCAACTTGGATAGAGCTGGAGGCCATTATTCCAGGTGAAATAACTCAGGATGGAAAACCAAATACTGCATGTCCTGTTTATAAGTGGAAGCTAACGCATGGGTACGCAAAGGCATACAGAGAGATATCACAGACATTGGCAACTCAGAAGGGAGGAGTATGGGGAAGGGGTGAGGATTGAAAAACTACCTACTGGGTACAATGTACACTACTCAGGTGATGGGTGCCCTGAAATCCCAGACTTCACCACTATGCAATTCATCCATGTAACCAAAAACCACATTTACCCCTAAAGCTATTGAAATAAAAAATAATAATAAAGCAAAAAAGAACACCTCCAGTCCCAGCCCTCATCAAATGCCCTCAGTTGCTTTTCCCTGTCACTGGAAGGGGCACTCCTTGAGGGCAGGGTCTAGGTTCACCCTGTTCACAGACCTGTCCCCAACACCTCAAAAGGTGCCTGGCCGATAGCAGAACTCAATAACCACATGTTCGTTTCAATCTCTCTCTGTGCTCAAATGCCATCTCCTACTGTGCCACCCACCCCTTCTTAGAATCTAGAGCCACCCACCCCCTCTTAGACACTATTACAGCACTCAGCTTAACATCTTCATGGAGGGAATCACTCAAAGTATCCTGTTTATTTGCTTGCTTACTTCTCATTCATTCAACGAATATTTTATTGGGCACTTACTGTATGACTTGTGCTTTGCCAACACTTGGGAATGTAATAGAACAAAGAGGGAAAAATCCTTCCTCTCATTGGAGCTTATATTCAAGAGGGGAATTCCTACAATAAACAGAATAGAAAACTCTCTATAACCTGTGTGACACGGATCAGCTCACTGGGGAATAATCAAATGGAGAAATGGGACAGGGAGTTTGTGCGTGTGTGTGTGTGTGATATTTTAACTGAGGTAGTAGACCTTTGGGAGAGGAGGACATTTAAGCAAAGATTGGATAGCTGGGGGGCACTTGTCTGCACTCCCCCGTTAGAATATAAATACCAACAGGGCCACCACCTTCCCTTTCTCTGTGGCCTCTGTGTCTCCAGAATAGGCACATAGTAGGTGCTCAATAAACATTCTTCAGAGGAAACAAAAAGAGGAGTATGTGATTAGACCTTAAAGTAGGCAGAAGGGAGATTTTTGTTTTTGTGACCACCCACTGATTAGCGAGAAGGTGGGAGGGACAGGGGCACTAAATTGAGGGGGGCGTGGGGAGGACATTTTGGGGGGCAGGTTAAGATTTAGAGGATGGAGATCCTCACTGGATAAGGTCCCCTCCCCCTCCCCCGCCCCGAACAAACCTAAGTTCTCCCTCTCCTAATATTGGGCATGGTCCCTGCTGGTCAGCCAACCTGGCCCCCTGAATATCCCTCCACAGCCTCCCAGCTTCAGAGTTCAGCCATCATCACCCTGCCTCCTTTTCTCCCGCACCCCTTCCCTCCTCACCTCCTTTCCCCCCGCCCCCGCCCCTTCCTCCTCCCGGAGGGGTGTCCCCGCGCCCGGTGGGCACGCCCTCGCCCCGGCGGAGAGGGCGCACGGAGGGGCCTGGGCCGTCGCGCCCGGGCCCCCGCCCCCAGCCCCTCTCCCCGGCGGGACGCTGTCCCTTTAATAGGCTCCCGCTGCCTGGCGCTCTGCGGCTGGGGAGTAAATTTCTCCCTGTCATCAGGTCGCGGGGAGAGGAGGAGGAGGAGGAGTTTGTTAATGTTCAGTTTGTTCAGCGGGATCGATGTTTGCTGGCATCGCCTCGCCCTGTCTTGTGTGTGTGTGCGAGGGTGTGTGTGTGTGTTTGTGTGTGTGTGCATATGTGGGGGGTGTGAGTGTGTGTGTGCGAGGAAGCGGGGGTGCGTGCGCGTGTGAGTGCGTGTGTGAGTGTGTCTGTGTGTGTGTCTGTGTGTGTGTGTGAGTGAGTGAATTCCAGATTTTCTGTCTTTCCAAAACCCGCTCCTGTCCTCTCGCATATCACTCACAGACGGGGATCTGACAGCAGCCACAAACCTACAGTGAGTGATCGCTCTCCCCCCCGGCACGAATCCGCCATAGAGATCGGCGAGGAGGAGGAGGAGGAAGAGAAGAAGGAGGAGGTGGAGGAGGAGGTGGAGGAGGAGGAGGAGGAGGGAAAGAGGAGAAGGAAGAAGAAGAAAAAGAAGAAGAAACCCACTACCTTCCCAGGATTGCCTTTTTTTTTTTTTTTCCTTATCTTTACGCGCGAGTGTGCGTGTGGCGCGTGTGCGCCCCTCGTCCCTTCCATCCGAACCCGGTCTTGGATGTTTAATAAAGAAATCAAGTGTCTCAACAGTCACCAAAAAAAACGCAAAAACAAAAAAAAAATCCAAAAGCAAAAACAAAAAAGAGAGAGGAAAAAAAAAATTCAAAACAAACAAACAAACAAACAAGGCAGAACCAACCTCTACTTCAAAGCAGCCGGCGCAAGCCACCCGTGTCTGCCACCCAGAGAGGGGGGTCTCTGGCCCGTGGTGGAGGAGTTGCAGGGGGGATCGTCAGGGGGACAGAGGCCGAGTGACGTCCTAGGAGCCACCGGGCAAGAGGCGGAGGAGACCCAGAGAGGCCAGAGAGACAGCGGGCCCCGGCGCGCGGCTCGGGGCTGGGGCGCCAGAAGTGGGACTGGAGCGAAGTAGAGGATGCCGAGGAGAAAACAGCAGGCACCCAAGCGGGCGGCAGGTAAGAGAAACGGCTCCGCTTCGGGGCTGCCCAGCCCGGGCTGCCCTGTGCGCCGAGCTCCTCGCCCGCCCTCCTTGCCCCTGGGTGCCCGGGGGCACCACCCACTTAAGCTTTTCGGGGGAGTTTGCGCCGGATGCCCCTCTAATAACCTCGTCCTCTCTCGCCTTCTCTGGTCTCCCAAATCCTCCCCTTCTAAGCTCCGGTTGGGTTGGGGGGAGCTATCCCACCAAGCCTTCCCTCCTTAAACTTTCTTTCCTCCACCCTCTACCCCACCCCTAACTTTCTCCCAGTCTGTTTCTTGCCTCTCGGGCCAAAGTCGGATTGAGGATTTGGGGTGCGGAGTAGGGAGACAGCACCTCCACCCCTGCATCCCTCTGCGTGGTCAGTGCCAGTGGCTTCTGGCCTCCAGGGACAGCGTCTCCTCTCACTGGGGCTTGGGGCGCTGAAGTGTGAGGCATATCCGACACTCGGGCTGCAGGCAGGCTTTGGGGCGAGCAATAGGAGTTTAGCGTTGATCACCAAGGTGGACAAAGTGCCCTCAGGAAATGGATGGATCTTTGCATATATTTTCTAAAAGGATCCATATTTGGAAATCTAATTAACAATTTCCCTACTCTCAAAAAAAGCAAAAGGGGTTGTGAGGGGGAAATTCCCCATAGAAATTTAAACAGCTCTGGATTTTCTTTGCCTAGAGAGTTGCAAACTTTGTGAAATGATTCGTACTGTAAGAACTGTCCATCTGAATCCTTACTGCCCCCTAAAAAAGATAAGAACAGGTTAATGGATCAGTACAATAGACCTTCTAAGGTTGTTTTTTTTGTGGGGGGGGTTGCTTAATCGCTTTTTTAATAGTATGCTGGGGTTTTGTTTCTCGGAAGTGTAATATGAAAGTTCATTTTTCTTCTGCCAGACCCACCCACTGAAAAATCAGCTTTCCACTTGATTGCTAGTTTTGATTTGACATTTGATTGATCACCTGTCATCTCGCTGCCTTTGATCTATTCATTCTTGATATATATCAATAAATCACTCACCATGGTAACTCAGAGTGCCAGTGACGCAAACCTTGCCCTCTATATTCAGAGCCAGACATGCACAATTATTATCTTGTTTGGCTTTTAATGTGGGCGTTTTTATTTCTTTGTGTCCTTTAGTCGAATCAGGGCTTTTGCATAAAGCTTACGTTTAGTTGTTTTTTCCTCTCTCTCTGTCTTTGCCCTCTTGATTAACCAACATTAGGTAAGGCTGGCCTTCTGCAGACCCACCTCCACATTTCATTCTGTTCCACCTCTAGCAAAACATAGGGAGAAGTTTGGTGGAACACTTTCATAAACTTTGCAAAGTCACCCTTAGAACAAATCCAAAGTTAGTTAGGAATCTGAGGAGAGTGGGCATCCCTTGTCTGAATGTGTTGAGCCACCAAGCTCATCCTCCTTCCTCCCCTGATTCGGGTCCAAATGGCAATATATGTGTTTCGAAATATCCACAGTTATCATTCCTTCTGACCACAGAATTGCTTCCCTAACTGTTTGTAAGTTGGTTCGAGTGGCATGCAGAAATATTGATCAAGTGTGGATTCACATATTTTCTGATCGTTCCCCTAAAAGCAAAATAATTGAAATATTTTTAGTGAGGCATAGATTTGGAACCCGCCTCACCAGGGAAGTTTTCTTTTTTCAACTCTAGTTACTTCTTTCGAAAACAGTGTCTCTTTCCTCCAGTTGTCTCCTTCTGCATTGAACTCACTTATTTCCTAAAATTTAGGCTGCTTTGCAATCTGACAGCCTGTGAATGTGTTCAATGGCCTTTGAGACCCAGGAAGAGTGAGCCTGCTGCCTCTAGTTCTGGCAACATAAGTTTAAGTGTAGCTACATTATAGAGATAACATCCTTATTGTTGTCCCGAAAGAGAACCCTGGGCTACCGTCCAGCAAGAAGTGATACTGCCCTGAAAATTACTCTTTTTTTTTTTTCCTTGTTGTTCCGGTAAAGACTATCAACAACTAGGCAGTAATTTAAATTACCAGAATGACTGGACATGTCTCCTTTAGTAAGCTCATTACAAAAAGTGCATTGCTCAGAATTGCTCGACTTTGATTATAATTATCCTCCGATCGATAAGGATCCAGGTGTACGTAACATAACACTGTATCACATTATTTAAATTAGGTCCTGTTCATTAAACTGTATCTGTTGGTGCTGGCTAGCTTATTGGGGTTTGTGTGTGTGTGTGTGTGTGTGTGTGTGTGTGTGTGTGTGTGTGTTAGAAACTTATAACTAGAGTTTCAGTTTTCTGGCCTATTATATTCCTACTGTCTTTGTATGTTTGTTTTGTATGATTCTTATTATTTTCACCAGAAGGGGAAACCCTTTTTAAGCTGAAAGAGGATAATTCATTTCGTACACAGTGAGGGCCCTCTTACCTTATTTATTTGCTCACATATTAATAGAGGAGACAGTTTTTCATGCAGTGTTTCTTCTTTTCAGCTAAGGTCATCAATGCCCTACTCTATTTCAGCTGAAGTGGTTATTCACAAGTAAAGTTAGCCACTTTGGGGTTCTGTAGCCAGTTAACATCCAGGGAAGGGGAGAAGGTGGGTTCTAAGATTATGGCCATACTAACTTTTATCACTGCTTAGAATTAAACACAATGCACAACTGTAAGTAATTACACTCAAGGACTGATGTTGAAAGCTTGATTTCTAGCTTGATTAATGAATAATGGGAGATAGAAAAAGCCTGTGAGTGGATCAGAGCTGAGGCTCTCTCGGAGCGCTCTTTTTCCCCAAGAACTGTTCCAGGCAATTTGATTTCTTTGTATTATTAATTTTAAGTTCCATGTTTCAAGGAATCAATTACAGAACTTTCTACTAAAGCAGGTATCTAAACAGAATAAACAGCATGATATTGTAAGTGATGAGGAATTTTAGTCTTTATTTGTTATATTCCTCCCCCTTCGGGGGGAAGGGATGTGAGGGGACAATTCTCTTTAAGGAAATAGCTAAATCAGAGTATTTCCCTCTGAAATGTCATTCTTCCTGGCTTTCTTAAGCTATGCTATTCCACCATACTATTACTTAGGGCAAGAAAAAAAAGTTGAGAAAGCAGCCTACAGTACCCCAGGGGTTTGTGTTGTGTGTGTATGCTTGCTTCCTTGGATGTATATTTCACTCACCATTAAAATGCATCCACTATTACCTGAAAATATTGCGGGATTCAGTACCAGCATTTTTCCCTTCTATGCATTTCAAGGAAGATAGAGAAAATGGTAGGAAAGTAAAATAAAACAGAACGGGGTTTTGATTTGTTTGCATTTTGCAGGATGCAGAGTGGTTAAAAATTTAAAATTGTAGACTTATAATCTAACTCTTGATTTTCTACAGCCTATCTCAGCCTCTGTGCGCACGCATATAAAATACATATTTTATTTCACCATCCTGAACTGTTTTTATATTAATGACAGCCAATTGCAATAGAACACAAAATCTTTTGTGAGCCTATCTTGTGAATATCTAATATATATGTAAGTTATAGGATTCTGCCCCTGCCCACCCAAAGCGATTAGATGTTTCCTTCTCGCTGACTCTTAGAGGCTTTCTGATCACCCAGATCTGAGGAGAGTCTTGCAAGAAAGAACAGCTCCCTCAATTTATTTTGTTTATTTAATATGGAGATGAATAATGCAGATTTTGTTTTCATGAATGTCCTTGTGTGGCAGTAAACATTAGACTATTAGCAATCATTACTTAAAAGTTGCAATTTGCACCTTAATAACATAGGTTATTTACATGGGAAACATAGTCAGCGGGGACAACTCTGAACACTGCAACAGAGCAGAAATGACCTCAGAGATCTCTTTTCCACCTCTTGAGAGTGATGACTCTGAATTAACGGGTGAGGTCCCAGAAATCACAACCAACAGGATGGAGGGAGGGGACAGGCAGCTCAGGGCAAAGTTTACCTTCAGTTTACTGTCAAGTAGGACAGGATTCAAGAGACTAGGAATCGAGTAGATTTGGGTCCCTGGCTCCCTCACTTTGTTTAAATATCCTTCAGAAAGACAAGTTCACATCTTGAATATTTAAATATCTCATGCGATGGATTCCTTCACTTGCCCAAAAGTATGATTTTAACAAATGAATGGAAAAATACACACACACACACAAACACACACGCACACACACGCATGGACGCAATAAACCCCAAAGGGTCTCAGCAGCACAAACTCTTTTGGCCATTCTGGTTACTTAAGGCAGATCTCTGAAAAAGGAAGGATAGATACCTTGAAATCACTTGGTCCACACAATATTTTGGATGGAAATTGATTGCTTAAGTGGTCCTTTTCCCACCCCCCGTCCTGATTTCCTTCCTCCACCTCTCACCTCACCCTTAAAGACTCAGATTGAATAGGACATCTCAAAAGCCCATTTGTTTTAGGCATTTATTGATTTCATTTTTAATCTGCCATATCAGGACACAATACGTTAACCCTAATCAGCAGATTACAAGTGACAGAGAGTTCTAGTAGAAACTATATAAGGGAGTAGGGCGTCTGGGAAACTTCTTGACAATGAAAATCTTCTCTGAGGCTTAAGAGTTTGAATGTTGAAGGTTACTTTTGGGGAGGGGAGAAACATTCCTCAGAAACAGTCTACGTTTTTTTCTTCCACTTTATATTTCCTTATCTCCCAGTTGCCCATTCTATTGCTACACTTTGGGAATGCTTAACGCCCAAGAAATATCTCCCAAGTATCTTTAGGAGGTCTGTCCCTGAAGCAGCTTGACCTTTCTCATAGTCTCCAACGGAGGTTTATGCTTTCATTTCATCCCAGCTGATTTCTCATTTATTTGATGGAATTTCTCCAAAGGATAATATCTGAGTCGATTTGTTTCTCTTCCCAGGGCCTTGGGAATTGTGCTGTCCATTGAGCAGGTTTTGGTGATGGGGGTGGGGGCACAGACTGAACCTGGCATTTTTTAAAGCCATTGAAATGATGCCTC